GCAGTAAGGACTGGATTACAACTATGCTGTGAACAGAGAAATTTCCACCTGTAATAATTGGGAAATTTGCCAACCCTCATTTTTTCCATTCAAATTTCATTCCATTTTTTCCATTCAAATTTCATTCCATTTTTTCCATTCAAATTTCAAATTTGCCAACCCTCATTTTTTCCATTTTCAAAAGGATCTTCAGGCTGGTGTTCTAAATTTTGCTGGTTTATTGCTTTAGAGATATAGTGAAACTTTTATTATTAAAATCAATATGTCACTAAACCAATAAACCAGCAAAAGAACCACTCACTTTGGAAAGCAAATGTTTTTTTCCATTTTCAAAAGGATCTTCAGGCTGGTGTTCTAAATTTTNCTCGGGCGTGCACGTGAGTGCAATGCTAGCTATGGCGCTATCGTTTCGTCGTCGGTGAGTTGGTTAATCTTTTATCTTCTCGTTTTGAACGTTAGGGTGGTGGGTGAGGAAACCTTCGTCCTAACCAAACATAAGCCCCAAACAAAAATATAATAAAGCAAAGTAAAAGTAAAAATAAAAATAAAGCACGGACTTGGTTCCTTACAGTTATGACTTACCTTAACCATCAACTACTATTTCCTCTTATCTCTTAAAATTTGGCTGACTTTCAGGGTTGCAAGATTGGGCTATTGAGCATATTGAGATATTTGTAGGGCTCTATACCTTTAGATTTAGGTGAATTACTACTTTTTTGGACTACCACAAAAATAATTTGGGCTACATTTTGAGAATATTTATTTTTTAAAAGCTTATTTAACTTTTTTAAAGTTTTATAAAACTTATCTGGCAACTTGTGAGGTTCTCACCAGATATGTGCTGTTTATCTTCAGTGTTAGTAGATTATATGATATCATTTTGCTAAAACTAGCTGATATCTATAATAAAAGTTTTATATATCCCTAAACCAATAAACCAGCAAAAGAACCACTCACTTTGGAAAGCAAATGTTTTTTTCCATTTTCAAAAGGATCTTCAGGCTGGTGTTCTAAATTTTGCTGGTTTATTGCTTTAGAGATATAGTGAAACTTTTATTATTAATATTAACCAGTAATTGGTTGTTGTTTTTTATAGCTGATATTCATCAACAAAAAAGTACATAACAAGTGGGCAGAAAGTGAACATTTTTTTATTTTTCAAAGTAATTTTTGTGAAGATGTCATCAGGAAAAGGCTCTAAAAGACGCTATAATGAAATCTTGCAACTGTCCTCATGCAACCATCTGCCTCATTGCATGAGGCAGATGGTTGCATGAGGACAGTTGCAGTTACCTTGTCCATATGAGTCAAATAAAAATGCTTGAATGACTGCAAAGATATTTCAAGATTGATTGCTAAGCTTTCAAAACAAAATGGCAACACAAAAAAGAAAGGTCCTGTTGCTGATGGATCAAGTGTCATCCCACAACATTGAAAGCATGCACCTTCCCAATGTGCATGTGCTATTTTTACCATAAACACCACCAACATTATCCAGCTCTTAGATCAAGGCATAATTTTGCAACTAAAAGCTGGGTACAGGAAACATTTGGTACTGTACATGCTTGGAGAGATTTCTTGAAGTGCACCTACTGAAAAAATCAGAAAATGGAATGTCTTGGATGACCTGTGGAATGTTATGGCTTCTTGGCAAGAAATTCCTGCCAAAAGCATCAGAAACTGTTTTGTGAAATCGGGTTTTGTTCAACAGCATTCAGATGTTGATGATATTAAAAATAGCCAGCAAAACAAAAAAATTGAAGTGCCACCTAAGTGGGAAGCCTTAATGGAAAACATCAGTTACATCATGAACTTCCCAGATTATGTGAATGTGTGTAATGATATTGCAACAACCTATGCCATTGATTTTGATGAAACAATACCAAATCTAGATGCAGCTACAATATCAGCATAAATGCTAGATGTTCACAGCAGTGATGACAAAGATGATGAGACACCACCTCAAAATCCTGTCATTCGCAAGGAAATTTTTGCAGTCTTGTCTACAATTAACGTGATGCTTGAAGATAATGCTGTATATGAGGATATTTGTCTTGCCCTTGAGAAGCTGTATGCCTTTGCACATAAATAATACAAATGAACAATGAAGCACTCTACACTTGATTCTTTTGTCCAGCTATGGAGACACTGCTACATACATGCTCAGTGAAAAGACAATAACATTTTAGATCTACATAGGAGATCTTCATCAGGTCAGTGAATTCTAAAATGTAATGTATAAAAGGAATGTGATGTTTTTTAAAGAACTTTTAAAAACCATCATATTTTCCCTTCTTGCATTCTATTTTAGAACTCTCTGACATGATGAAGAAAAGATGGATGCCATGGTAAGTCTGCATAGTAAAATATGCATAACATTGTCAATGTTGAATTATACAGTAATTATACAGTATTTTAACAATATTATTAATTAAAGAAAATAGCATTGTGTATACATAGCAGTATTCTGTTTGCTTACTAAATTTCATTAGTTACATAATATTTAGCATATTGTACAGAAATTATAAATCTTGATAATTCAAAATTTGATATTTTGAAGTCTCGATTATTTTGTCCCCTGAATATTGAACTAACAAGGATTTCCTGTATAAACAAAAAGATTTTTGTTTTATATTTTTCAAACTACAGATATACATAAAACCATATAAATTTTGTTTTCTTAACAAATTATAATAAAGTCCTTTACCCCTTTGCTGTTTTCAGACAGGAAGAACACTATGTTTGTTTCTTTTTGTGCATTCATTATGAAGTAATCCTAATAACAAAAGTTTTTTCTTTGCTAGTAAAGCATTGTAGTTGAACCATTTTGATTTTACTTCCATCCATTGCAATAATTCATGTTTCTCTATGATGAGTTCAATGCAAACATGTGACATATCATCTCCATGTCACTTTCTTCTGTTCGCTCATGTCGGTGTGGTTGTACAGCACTTAACAAAAGCGAGAAATGTCATCATGTCTTCTCGCCACATATTCTCTCTTGCACCATGCTCAGCAAATTTGCTCATTCATATCTGCATAAATGCTCCATAGATCTTATTTTGCAGCTTCCATAATGTGGTTGTCATTTTTCAGTTTTCCAAAGTAAGAACAGTGATGATAATACATTTGTGAGGGTCATCTGAGGGTATGGAGTGATGACTCACAATTTAATGCAATGCAAGCAAAAACTTTTCAAGGAATTGTAACATCTTCCAAAAAAGCTCTTTTCATAAGCTTCTCTATCATATAGTCAAGAAACACTTGGTAATGTACTGTACACTATTAAAGTGTTTATGTAGTTAGACTGGTTTGAAATAACTGCAGAAAGTATGCATAAGCTAAAAAGGGGACAGAGTTAGCCTACTAAAAAACTTTCTTCAATGATGTAATTTCTTCAAGAAACTTATAGCTGGCTAGGTGGGTGGATATTGTAGATGGCTTCTGTTATCTAAGCCAAGTCTGGCTTATATAACAGAACAGCCACTAGGTAACAATAGAAACACTTGTCTTGATATTAGCAACATTTTGTTTTTTCTACCCTGTTTGCTGTTAGGAAGGACATTTTATCACTAAATAAATATGAAAGAACAGTAAGTGAATTAAATACTGTCCATTAGTTGCATTTAAGTTCTTTCATGTAGCATCTTGCATGTAGCATCTTGCATGCAGCAAAATGACATCAATTTGATAGCATATCACAGTATGCAAAGCTTTGGGCAGCAAGTCAAATTGATGTTATTTCACTGCATGCTAGATACTACACTCAACAACTGAAACCCAGCTTTACCAAATAAGTATGGATGGCGATCTTAAGATTCTAGCTAACATTCATTAGACAATATTGAGTAGCACTATCTAGTGAGCTCATTATTAGATTAAATATGGCAAAATGATGTAAAAATGTTATTTTTGATGTATAATAATATTTATAAATTCTTAGTTTTTGATTTGTTGTTTTAATTTTTCTATGTTTTGAATATTTTAATTAATTCTATCTTTAATTTCTTTTTTCACAAAATCTTGTTTTGAAAAAAATAATAATAAAGACATGGAAAATAATATGTATCTTAACAATTAAAAATGAAATAATAGCTATCCTGGATTTGTCCTGGTTTTTCATTTTTAGAAAACAGTATATTCTAGTTTTTATTCCTAGGAAATATGACAAAAGTAAATTTATAAAATTTGTATTCAAAATGACTGTCAATTACTTTTCAGTATTCTTGATTAATAATTTTAAAATTTCAGATATAAATACGGTATACATTTAATTATAAAAATTGTGTTAGAAATTTAAACACTATGAGAAAATTTTAATGCATTTTTTCATAGTAATCTAAACTGATAGATTATTTTCTTATCTGTTTAATATGAAGTTAGTAGTTAAATAGCAATGATTAAAACCAATAATTATATATTACTCAAGGTTATGTTACTTCTATGATTAGTAATAGCAGTAATATAGCCTAATATAATCTGACAATCATTTGGCATTGAAGTTATAAGTTTTACATGATATTATATTACATTGACTTTTGAGTTTAATTTATTAATAGTAATATAATTGAATTAAAAATGATAGTTTTGATTGTTACAATCCACCACTTACTGTATTTTCCTGTGTAAAATCTGCAAATGTTTAAAATATATTTTAAAAGAGGTTGTGGGTTATGTGATGAGGGCAGTTATATGCTGATTTTAAATTACAGTTATGAACTCATATCTATAGAGTAACATGGGTGGCCAACCCATGACCTAGGTCACATAAAATATGAATAAATGTATCAATTTCCCAGCTTAAAGAAGTATGCAGCAAAAATTCAAACATTATTTTCTACAACTTATNTTGAATGCATTCTTTGAATAAACGTGTCTGCTTGCATGGAATTTTGCGGACCACACAGTATTTTGGTATAATACTCGAATTGACTCATCTGATCATAAATTACAATTATGCTATTAATTTATTTTTTCATTTTTATACACCGCAGGGGGTCGCTAGTTGTGTTCAAAATGGCGGATTCGTTTGGTTTTATTAAGAGTGGAGAAATATAATTTTATTGTGTAATTTTGTGTATTTCATGCTTCCAAATTAAGTAATGATGTTTATGAATATCGACATTGACTATGGGATTGATTACAGAAAACGAATTTCTAAAAGTTTGGAATTATGAATTAAGATACATTGTATTGTTGCTATTTTTTGTTATGAGAAGTGTTTCGAGTTATGATATAAACTGTAGCGAGATTCTGATGGGACAGTATCCTTTTACGTTATTGGATGCCGTTACAATATTTGACAAGCAGTTTTACCTATCATTAATTAATTGAAAGCATCTGACAAATAGCAAATGTAATTTGTATTTAATCACAGTTTATACAGTATATAAGGTTCTGATTGCAAATCTTTATTAATGTTTTCAGATGTCTGTTTCACTCACTTATCCCAGCAATTCATTGAATTATATAAACCATTGGTAGATGTTCACCTAGATAGCCCCAATGACAGTATCGTGTTTAATTAACAACTTAGCCCATGCGACTATGCCAGCTTCAAGTAGCCCACTTGGCTGTTTGTGGAGTACTTGATGTTATATAGTTTTAGAGGGATGTGGTGGCTTGTCCCGACCTGAGCGCTAAGGTGTGAGTGATAGCAAGCAACGAGCATGCACCTACATGTGAAGCATGGAGGATAGTGGGTAGACTGATATATGTTTAAAACTGATCTTCAGAGACGAATATCATGTGAAGGGTCAATAATTGTGGGAGTGATGTGATTTATGTAAAAAATATGAAATAAAACATTGATTTTGCTAAAAAAGTAGTGAAAATGACCGTTGCTCCGATGATGGAGGTGCCACCATTGTGGCTACCTAGGTGAACATTTACCAAACCATCTTTCACAGAGTAATTTTTCAGGGGTTGTTTCTATAGTTTTTTCCTCACATTGAGCAACTCTCTTGTCAGTTGTTGATGCACAAGTATATTATTTAACACTGTTTTATGAGATATTTCTTTGATTTAATATAAAATTCACCATATTATGACTAGCCAGAATTTTTTCTGTTATCACTGGGCATGAGTATCATTTAACCATCTACTTTGGTTAGATGGTAAATGATACTCTGGTTTCTATGGTGGTGGGTGTGACTATGCAGATGTGAATCTAGTGGTGAGTGATATAATTTTTACAAAAGAAAACCATTAACAATTGAGAAACAATTGTTAATGGTTTTCTTTTGTAAAAATATCTGACAGACTTTGATGTTTATCGCGGCTTGTCTTTTCTCACTGAATAATGCATGTACACCTAGGCATGAATAAATGTCTTTCATCTATGGGAAATCCTCATTAATTCGAACTCAGATAGTTCAAAATCCCATTAATTCGTAACTATACTATCTTTCCCAGCCAGTTATAGGGATTTACATTTGTTAAGGAATTTGGTTAGTTCAAAATTCAAAGTGATAATTCTGTCCAAACTGTGATAAGTGTATGTTAACTCATTCATTTAGATCAAAGTGCCTCTGTAATATACGAGAATAATAGACCAAGAGCAATTCTAATCTGGTCAATATAGCTTTGCTATTACAGTAACACATTTTTGTGTTAGGGGTGTAAGGAACCAAGTCCGTGCTTTATTTTTATTTTTACTTTTACTTTGCTTTATTATATTTTTGTTTGGGGCTTATGTTTGGTTAGGACGAAGGTTTCCTCACCCACCACCCTAACGTTCAAAACGAGAAGATAAAAGATTAATCAACTCACCGACGACGAAACGATAGCGCCATAGCTANTACATTTAATTATAAAAATTGTGTTAGAAATTTAAACACTATGAGAAAATTTTAATGCATTTTTTCATAGTAATCTAAACTGATAGATTATTTTCTTATCTGTTTAATATGAAGTTAGTAGTTAAATAGCAATGATTAAAACCAATAATTATATATTACTCAAGGTTATGTTACTTCTATGATTAGTAATAGCAGTAATATAGCCTAATATAATCTGACAATCATTTGGCATTGAAGTTATAAGTTTTACATGATATTATATTACATTGACTTTTGAGTTTAATTTATTAATAGTAATATAATTGAATTAAAAATGATAGTTTTGATTGTTACAATCCACCACTTACTGTATTTTCCTGTGTAAAATCTGCAAATGTTTAAAATATATTTTAAAAGAGGTTGTGGGTTATGTGATGAGGGCAGTTATATGCTGATTTTAAATTACAGTTATGAACTCATATCTATAGAGTAACATGGGTGGCCAACCCATGACCTAGGTCACATAAAATATGAATAAATGTATCAATTTCCCAGCTTAAAGAAGTATGCAGCAAAAATTCAAACATTATTTTCTACAACTTATGTATGTGAATAGTTTTTTTTCTCAATGAATTTAATAAAAGTTAAAACAAGAAATCAGCTAACAGACTCATTGAAACTAATTTAAAACTAGCAGTGACTAATATTTAACCAAATATTTTCAATATGTTTACATCAGTTTCAGAAGCTAAATTATTAAGTTTACAGTACATATGCTTATTTATAATTATATATGAATAAATAATTGCGATTTACTAGTGTTTTTTTTTTCTTTCTTTCTCTTTTCTCTTGTATGTGACCTGCATCAGTTCAAAAGTTTTGAAATATGACCCTTAGATAGAAAAAGGTTGCCCATCCGTGGAGTAACATCTTTCATCTATCCAGTTGGAGGATATGTGATGTGAGTTATACAGGGTGTTTCAAAAAGAATCATTCAATTTAAAAAAATCATAACTATTCAGCTTTTAATCCATTTTGGTCAAACGATGTACTGTTAGAAAGAGGAAATTCTCGAGTTTTTGTGCAATTTCTTGGGAATCCCTTTCTCTTCTTAAAGAACACTGTTACAAAAATTACATATCTCGATATGCTTGAAAACTGGCTTTTCCTACAGTTAATGACCAATTTGGATTACTTCATTTTCCAGCAGGATGGGGCACCCACCACACTGGAGCCTGGAAGTTCAAGAATTTTTGAATACACAAATTCCCCAATGATGGATCGGCTGTATGGGACCTAATGGGCTTTAATAACTAGTCTCCTACGTTGCCGGACCTCACTGATTGTGATTTTTTCTTGTGGGCATTTATAAAAGACTCTGCTTATATGCCTTCTCTTCTAGCTACAGTGGTCAAACTGCAAAACCACTTAACAGCAGTGGTGACAGTAGTGGATTCAGACATGCTCGCAAAAGTTTGGAATGAATTTCACTACCATTTGGACAGATGCCATGAATCCCAAGGGGGCATATTGAGCACCTATAATTTAGTATGTAAAAAAACTTGAAGCTTATAAAATTAATCTTAAGTGCGTATCTTCATTACTTTTCATAATATAATCATTTTAAATCGGATGATTCTTTTTGAAACACCCTGTACAAAGATTTTAATCTTTATGCTATCAATTTTCCATTAAGAGTTTTACACCACCACAGGTTATATGCATGAAAATGTAGTACTATTTTTAATAATTTAAATTATTGTCTTTTAATACATTATTTATTTACATTAATCCCCTTACAAAAATATTCATATATTAAATATAGATATAACTATTTTTTAAAAAAGTAAAACTATGAATATCATAATCTTTTAACACCACATTGTATACAGCAGGGGTGTCCAACCTTTTTGTTTCTCTGGGCCACATTGCAAGATGTTATGGAGTTTTAGGCCACAAGTATATTATATATACTTGTGGCCTAAAACTCCATAACATCTTGCAAGTATATTATATATACTTGTGGTCCAATTCTTAAATATACTTGTATATTTAAGGATTAACATGTCTAGATTATAGTAATAAGTATTAAATCTTTATCAGGAAAAAGGATATTTAAAAAATTACTTTTACAGACACTTTCAATTTTACTTAGAAATAGATAAATTCATTTATTATAAAAGAGACAAACGAAAATTTATTTGAAAAACACAAATATTTGTTTTATTTGGATCTCTAATTAATAAAAAGTGACAAAACACCATTTTAAAGTGCATTTTTATTCGTCTAATATATTTATAAATAATATGCAGCCCAAAAAGTAGCCAATGTGCCAAATGATATTTTTTATGCCAAACTAAAAAAAGGGTAGCCAACTTTGGCGAAAAGTAGCCAAATCATGCAACGCTGGAAGGAATATTAAATAAACTGGAGTTAGGACTCAAAGGATTATAGACCCAAATGCAGGGAAAGGAGAGAAAAGACAAAAGATAAAGAAATGAGGAAGGTTGGAAAATTAAGAGTCCATATTTGCATAACAGAAAGTCTATTTAATCTTTCTCACTACTATTTATCTTTTGGCCTTTCTCTCCTTTCTCCCCCCAAATTTGGGTCTATAATCCTTTGAGTCTCAACTTTAGCTTTATTTAATATTCCTTCCTCATTCACATATTTTCAAGTATTTGAAAATATTTCCTTTCCACTCAAAAATAAAATATGTATAAAAGTTTAGGGTTTTGTGAAACTTCTTTTTTTGAATTTAGGCCGTTTAAATAAATAAATAAATAAAATAAAATAAAATGAAAAACTTCTCGGTTTTGTTTACACGTTTATTGGGCCACATTGGAACTTGCCTTGGACTGCGGGTTAGACCCTCTGGTATACAGTATTACATAACTATATAAATGAAGTGTTGGCAAGAATATTACGGCACTTTCTTAGGGACATTCCAATTTTAACACAAGGGTTGAGTGCTGAAACCAACAATTTGATGTCATCAACAATGTTCCAACTTCAAGTACAAAGTGCTTTGTTCCCATAATTCCAATCTCAGCAAGATGGATTTCATTCAAATGTCGCACCAATTACCCATAATTCATTGGAAAGTAGTGGTCAACATATCTGTTGAGTGCTGAGTGTGTGTTGAGTCAGCATTGACAAAAGCACTAACTTAACATTGAAAAAAGGAATGACTTTAATGAATGTTGAGATCAGTGCTTAGTCCGCATTGAAAATTGGAATGTCCTGTCTGTATGTGGACCCTTTTGCTTTTGTACCTCTACTGTGTGTATTCTACAATACACATAGTAGAGGTACAAACTGTATTCCAACTAAGCAGTTCCTTTCTTTTCCTCATTACCACGAAGTTTGATTGTAATATCACCGTTGATATCCTGGACGAGATTTATTCATGTTCTGAAAATTGTTAAATATTTTATTAATAACTTTAATTTATTTATGGTTATATTATTATTTAATTTATAATGTTTCTTTCATCATATCCTAAGCTATTAATCATATATAGAAATTTCTGCACTTTATATTCTTATTCTTTCATTACAGATAATTCTAATTCTTCTAGATTTTTTTCAATTTATTGAATGTTTATTGTAAAAACTATATACTAATTTATTGTAAAACTAGCTGAAATAACTGATGATAGTTTTATAAAGTAATAAGATCTTATCTAAATATCAGTATTTTAATTATTATTTCAGTTTCCTGTAATTAAATACTTTAGAATTTAGAATACCAGATAGTTAGCTATTTGATTTTAAAAAATCTTCAATAAGCTTCTGCACGTAGTGATGAAGAAATAACTTTAATTGTGTTTGTTGATATATAAATATTTAATTGTGTTTGTTGATAAAAAAAGGAAAGTATAATAATGGTGATAAAACATGTTTGTTGATAAGGAAAGTATAATAATAATGATTGCTAATTGATTATATAAATACTGATTTAGAGTTTCAAATTTGATTATATAATAGAAATGAAAACTTAGAACATTCAACATAATAACTGAAAAATTAAAAACTTCTAGAGGTCAGTTTGAATATTTTGATGAATGTTTTTAGATAATTTCTATATCCATCTTCAGATCAAACAAAAGTAATATAATGAAGTGTTTTAATTTTTTTCAATTATAAAAAATTATGTTTTGCTTGCAGTGAATAAANCTTTCTCCCCCCAAATTTGGGTCTATAATCCTTTGAGTCTCAACTTTAGCTTTATTTAATATTCCTTCCTCATTCACATATTTTCAAGTATTTGAAAATATTTCCTTTCCACTCAAAAATAAAATATGTATAAAAGTTTAGGGTTTTGTGAAACTTCTTTTTTTGAATTTAGGCCGTTTAAATAAATAAATAAATAAAATAAAATAAAATGAAAAACTTCTCGGTTTTGTTTACACGTTTATTGGGCCACATTGGAACTTGCCTTGGACTGCGGGTTAGACCCTCTGGTATACAGTATTACATAACTATATAAATGAAGTGTTGGCAAGAATATTACGGCACTTTCTTAGGGACATTCCAATTTTAACACAAGGGTTGAGTGCTGAAACCAACAATTTGATGTCATCAACAATGTTCCAACTTCAAGTACAAAGTGCTTTGTTCCCATAATTCCAATCTCAGCAAGATGGATTTCATTCAAATGTCGCACCAATTACCCATAATTCATTGGAAAGTAGTGGTCAACATATCTGTTGAGTGCTGAGTGTGTGTTGAGTCAGCATTGACAAAAGCACTAACTTAACATTGAAAAAAGGAATGACTTTAATGAATGTTGAGATCAGTGCTTAGTCCGCATTGAAAATTGGAATGTCCTGTCTGTATGTGGACCCTTTTGCTTTTGTACCTCTACTGTGTGTATTCTACAATACACATAGTAGAGGTACAAACTGTATTCCAACTAAGCAGTTCCTTTCTTTTCCTCATTACCACGAAGTTTGATTGTAATATCACCGTTGATATCCTGGACGAGATTTATTCATGTTCTGAAAATTGTTAAATATTTTATTAATAACTTTAATTTATTTATGGTTATATTATTATTTAATTTATAATGTTTCTTTCATCATATCCTAAGCTATTAATCATATATAGAAATTTCTGCACTTTATATTCTTATTCTTTCATTACAGATAATTCTAATTCTTCTAGATTTTTTTCAATTTATTGAATGTTTATTGTAAAAACTATATACTAATTTATTGTAAAACTAGCTGAAATAACTGATGATAGTTTTATAAAGTAATAAGATCTTATCTAAATATCAGTATTTTAATTATTATTTCAGTTTCCTGTAATTAAATACTTTAGAATTTAGAATACCAGATAGTTAGCTATTTGATTTTAAAAAATCTTCAATAAGCTTCTGCACGTAGTGATGAAGAAATAACTTTAATTGTGTTTGTTGATATATAAATATTTAATTGTGTTTGTTGATAAAAAAAGGAAAGTATAATAATGGTGATAAAACATGTTTGTTGATAAGGAAAGTATAATAATAATGATTGCTAATTGATTATATAAATACTGATTTAGAGTTTCAAATTTGATTATATAATAGAAATGAAAACTTAGAACATTCAACATAATAACTGAAAAATTAAAAACTTCTAGAGGTCAGTTTGAATATTTTGATGAATGTTTTTAGATAATTTCTATATCCATCTTCAGATCAAACAAAAGTAATATAATGAAGTGTTTTAATTTTTTTCAATTATAAAAAATTATGTTATGCTTGCAGTGAATAAATTTCAACAGAATAACATTTCTAATGACAAATATTCAATAACCAAAGTAATAAACTAACAGTTTTGTAATACTAAGTTGTTTGAAAGGATTGCTTTTTTTTTTTTAAATTATAAATAGAATTGTAATTCTATTTATAATTTAAAAAAAAAAATAAAGAANACTAAGTTGTTTAAAAAAAAAAATAAGAGTATATATTTTCTTAAAAGATTTATAGAGGAACCAATTAGTTTATTTCTATTGTATTTTATTGCAGATATTGTTAATATATGCACAAATAAAACATTATATACAATTAAAATATAAAAAATGTATTAAAAATCTTTTGATATAATTATAAATATATTTATATTTTGGTTTATTATTGACAAAATAATGTAAAAAAGAAAAAAAAAATCTTTCCAAATATGCAAAAAATGAAAACTTGTAGTAGGCTTTTTTGTGCATGTTGGGCAACATTCTTGCTTCCTCAGGTGCTTCTATGGTGCATTTTTTACTGGCTACAATATATTTGGTAAACTTAGAAGCAAAACAAGTTATCTTTATTAAAAACAACCATAAAATTAAAAAAATAGAAATATAGTAATTTAAAACATTAAAATTTTTATCATTTATTATGTTGAAGTAAATTTTGTAATATAATTATTTGTTACTAAACATTATCAAGTTTTTTTAACTAAATTGATTTATAATCAGAATTTAATTTACTTTAGATTTACATTATCTAGAAACAAACAACTACACTGACTCACCAAAAAGTTCAGTACAGTTATTCTATGTTTACAGATTTATTAATGATACATCTATAAATATCTTTTAATGTATATGTTATATTTTTCTGTTAGTAAATATCTTAATATAATTATCAGATATGTTTGTGCTTTGCCAGTTATTGATCCAGAAACACAGCAACCACAAGGATGTACGAAAGAAAATATTGCCAAAGGTAATTATGGTTGATTTTGAATTTTTGTACCAGAAACACATAAATGAATAGCTTTATTTATAAATGGTTACATATGCAAGTAGTATATATGCTTTTGTTTAGAACAGGGCTTCTTAAACTTTTTTTATTCACGACCCCATTTATGATTGTGATTTTTTTCGCGACCCAAAAAAAAATCTAAAATAAAGATATATACAAATTTGCAAAAACAATAATGGTATACTACTACAGTTCACTCTTGTGTTACAATGAAACAGAGACAACTGAATACACTGAAAAGCGACAACACTACAGTAGTTCACACTACAATCAGTGTTGCTGAATCATTGTTTTGCTGCACCAGAAGTGACAGAAAGCGCAACTCACGAAACCTATGACACAAAGCATGCCATTTTCAAACTCACAAATTATTTTCAGTATTTTGCATTAAAATCTCGCGACCCAAAGATTTCACTAAGCCACCCCAAATGAGGTCGCGACCCATAGTTTAAGAAGCCCTGGTTTAGAAGAATCAATAGGCAATTCTTGTGGAACATAACTCTGTTAAATACTTGACATGTTAAATAATTTGTAAAATTATAATAATAATAATAATAATTAAAAATAAATATGTAAAATTATTGACTTTTATCGAGATTCTTAATTTTTATGAAATTAAAATTTCTAGATAGTGTCTTACTCTTTGAAAAGAGAACTGAATTGTTCACTTTGACCATTAATAAACAAACTTTCTTATACATTTTTTCTTGCTCCTTCTACTACATTAACTTATTTTTATTTATTTATTTTTTAAAATAATTTTTTTAAGAAGAAAAATAATGATTTTAAAAATTTAGTGTATGATTTATCTCATGAAGGAAATTATTTTAGAAATATACAAATTTTCAGAAAAATAATTTTTTATATATTTTTATTTCACTAATTTTCAAATTATGTAGGTATTTGTATAAATTAATTTGATGTCATATGTCATATCATGTATTATAATTGAAAGTGATATAATAATAGAAAACAGTTCTATGCCCATTATGATTATATGCATATGTTGATTATGTTATGATAATTAATTGGAAAAATATTATACTTCAGTATAGAAAATGAAATTGTCTACAGCTTTTATAAGTTTTTTTATTTGAATCTACTTTACAGTGATTCATTTTATATTATTTCTGCATTTATAGTAGAGTATATGATTATATTGCTTCCACTATATTCTGTTGTCATGCATTCAGAAATGTTACAAAGAAATTGTATGATAGTTATGCCTAAATTTTTTTAACATGATAAAAGCAATACTAAATTGAAAATAAAAAATTGAAAATACTAAACTGGCATTATGTACCCACTTTCATTTTCAAATCTTCAAGCCACTAGAAGATCCAGAAATCTTTACAGGAAACAATATGTCTTACAAAATTTTTTACCATCAGAGGTACAGTACCAGACTTTACTTGGGATTTAGAGGGTGCAGGGCTCACACCCCCTAATTTCACCCTTCAAGCTATCTTTTATACTTTAATACAAAAGTACGCTATATTTTTTATAAATATATAAAAATGTATTCTCTCTCAATAATTAAATTAAGTTAACATCATTTCTACTAAATATATTAATTCTCATCTTTAAGTAAAAAGTTAAATTTAAAAACTCATGCCAAGTTTTGTATAGTTTCTGGATGAAAATTCACTGAGTGCAGCATTAAAAAAGTTTCTTTAGCATTAACACAAGCACTTTCGACGTGTGTATAATTGTCGTCTTCAGGTGAAATGAACAAATTTTAACAAACTGAACGTGCAGAATGTTTCAAAAAAACAGAATTTTTAAATTCAAACCAGGTGTCCGGAAATTCTGTTAAGAACGTGCAAATAGTTTTTGACATGTTTGAATCCTTAAGTTTTATGGTGCAAGCGGTGCATGCGTGGAATTGACACAGCGTTGGTGATACAACGTTATGTATGTTTTTTATTTATTTTATTTATTTATTTAGACATACTAGGCAGAGCCCATGATGCGGGGTATACAATAATTCGTTTACATGTACATTACAAAAAAATATCATAATCCATCCATTATTACAGAGAAAATTAACATATACATAAATCAAAACAAAAATTATACAAGTATTATTATAAACATCAAAAAACATCAAAAATAAATATCTGAAAGCCAAATATCCAAATATAAACATATAACATAATAACAAAATTCATCATGGGGAGAACGTTATGTATGTTTTATTTTTTAGACACCGATACAGGACAATCCACACTGGGTAGATCGAGGGTGGGAACACTGTGGTCCAGAATGGCAATATTTAAATGCTGCGACAATTGAAGGCTTGTGTTCATCTGGGAAACGTTTCTCACAGCTACTACAGAAGCATGCAATGTTTCCACCCTCGATCTACCTGGGGTGTGGATTGCCTTGTATTGGCATCTAAAAAATGAAATGTGCCTAATGTCGTATTACCAACACTGTGTCAATTCCACGCATGCGCTGCTCGCACCGTAAAATTTAAGGATTCAAACATGTCAAAAACTATTTGCACATTCTTAACAGAATTTCTGGACACCTGGTTTGAATTTAAAAATTCTGTTTTTTTTAAACATTCTGCACGTTCAGTTTGTTAAAATTTGTTCATTTCACCTGAAGATGACGATTATACACACGTCAAAAGTGTTTGTGTTAATGCTAAAGGAACTTTATTAATGCTGAACTCAGTGAATTTTCATCCAGAAACTAATTCTCATGAAAGTCCACAAAACCTGACATTATTATAGATAACTAGCAGATGAGCCCAGCATTGCTTGGGAAAAAAGTATTGATAGCGAAGATTAAGTTTATTAGATTATAGCCGATCTTACCCGTTTTATCAAGTTCAAGAATGTCTCCCCCTCTTCTGAGACTAATTAGAAAATTTTTAGATATCTGCTTACCACACCGGAATAATGATAATTAAGACTCACTGCAACCACTAACCAGTGCATAGTACCACTAAGTGATGAATAAATGTTTTTGTAACTTTTTCTGGGTTCTTCTTCATGTTTACTAAATTCGAAAAATAAGCTGGATCTTTCAGAATCATTCATAAATATAAATTCAAACATAAAATCGAACATTAAGACAAAGAGTTTGAATAAAGCAAACTTATATACTTGGATTGGATGCCACACCAACAGTTGTGCTAATTCAATTAGAAACTTCATACTAGGAGGCATTAAAGAGAATTAAAAGGAATATTTTAATCTTGCAAGTGCTTTCAACGTAAATATGTACGTCGTCTTCAGGCAATTCAAGATTGAAAATCTCTTTTTGATCTTGAATTGCCTGAGGACGACGTACATATTTACGTTGAAAGCACTTGCAAAATTAAAATATTCCTTTTAATTTTCTTTAACGCCTCCTAGTCTGAAGTTTCTAATTGAATTAAAGCAAACTTATGCGCATGTGCTCTTCATGTCAACTTTATATATGAAATGCTCATATACATGTGCACTACCTATTGTAGGATAAATGTACTATGCCAGAAACCTTTATGGGAGTATATTAAACAACTTCCCAAAGTTTCATGGCAATCGGATAAATGGTGTAGTAATAGATGAAGGACAGACAGATATACATTCATTTTTATATATATAGATAATTAGTTAAGGATGACCTAAGTGAAGGTTGAAACATTTCTGATTAAATATTTTTTGATAACCAGAACGTTAGCAGTTTGTTTTATTATCATACTCTGTTTATTATGTAATTCACATTTGTCCTCCATATTGTATGTTTGTTCTCTCATTTTTGTATTTCCCAGTCACTTCAATAAATTTTAAAGATGACTTTTTAGGAAAAGCATATTTATCTTTCAACAATTCAGGCATGACAGAGAAAAAAGAAGCTATTTTGTATGACAAATTATTTTATATGAGCTTGAATTATGCAAATGTTAACACAGAACATTATTTCTAAATAACATTAATAAAACTTTAAATTATCTTAAAAGCCAGAAAATGGTAAAGAACCATGGTAAAGAAATCAGATTGTTATTTTATTAGAAGTTAATGATAACTTCACTATCAGTTCTATAAAAGGAATTACTTAATTTCACATTTTTCATTTTTTTCCAAAACTTCTAATAGTTGAATCATGTTAATTTCCATTAGTCGTTCTTCTAGAAAACATGTAACTTATGTACCATAAAAAGTGTTATTCTTTTTACTATAAGAATTTAGTACATCAGATAGAATATTTCTGATTTATTTCTCAATTATAGAACTTTACATTCTTTTACAGTTAACTGTACAACAAGTGCAGGGATTATATGCAAACCAGGTACTGGATTAAATTCCACTGTCTTTCAAAAAGATATACCTTGTCTATATACGTAAGTAATTTTATTTCATATAATTCAAATACATTTTATGGACATAATCAATTAGGCACTAATTTTTCAAAATCTTAAGACTTTAATATAAATTTTTAAGTTTTTATAAAAAATATTTCTCAGATTTTTTATTTTATTTTATTTTATTTTATTTTATTTATGGAGATGAAATAAAAAAATAAGTATTCAATGGCAACAAAATGAAAGTATGTATTTTGAGGAATATATGTGAAAGCTGTACATTTGTCTGGCAAATAACACTGCAAAAATTCAATAAAAATATGAATGTTAAATAAGTAAATTTAACATAAAATCTAAGACAAAATGTAGTTATTGATATTCAAAAAGAACTGATTATAAAAACAATTAAATTTTTATAGACTTTATAATTAAGATATCTGAAGAACAAAGATACAGCAAAATTCAGTTATACTATTGAACATTATACAGTAAGAATGTTCTTGTAGTATTTTCAGTTTATATTCATAATGTTGCTTACTTGACAACATTGTCCAGATACTTATTGTACTTAAAAGCTATTTTGTTTGAAAAATTCAGAGAGAACTTATTTTGATGATAGTATGCATATGTATTGGGTTGTTTGGAAAGTAATTTCATTTTTTTACTACTAGACGGATTAGTCGTATTTTTCCCACCATTTTCATTCTAAACCGCATTATCGTTATATATTTTGACAGTTATCATTTTAAAGCTTGTTTGTAAAAAATTTTGTTTGATTTTGTGCAATTGTTTATTTTTTGTGTCCCATCAAATATTTTGCTCTTTTATTACTGAAAAGGTAAGAATGCTGTTCAAGTGAGAAAAAATTGTGTGATATGTATGGAGAAGATGTATTGACAGAATGACAGTGCCAAAACTGGTTTACAAAATTTCGTTCTGGCAATTTCAATATTGAAGATGCACCATGTTCTGGATGGCCAGTTGAAGCCAATGGAAACAAAATAAAGGTACTGATTGAAGAAAACTGCCGGATAACAACATGTGAAATCACTAAGATATTAAATTTGTCAAATTGAACTGTTTATGATTACTTGAAACAAATTGGTTTTGTTTCAAAGCTTGATATATGGGTTCCAAGTGTTCTTAAAGAGAGATGCTCTCTTTGATGGGATTTTAAAGAAATTTTGTTTCTTTGGAGCTTTTACCAGACAATTTAATAATTGATTCGAAAGTGAGCTGCCATTGAGTAAACAAATTGAGTAATATCATCAAACAGAAAAGACAGCCAGAATTGATCAACAAAACAGGTGTAGTGTTTTACCACGATAATGTCAAATTTCACACAAGTTTGGTAATTCGTCAGAAACTGTTATAACTTAGATGGGATGTGCTATCACACCAACCATATTTGCCAGATCGAGCACACTCAGATTATTACTTGTTCCGGTCTATACAAATTTTTTTTAACTGTAAGACATTTACTTGAAATGACAATGTCAAAAATCACTTGGATCAGTTTTTTGTAAGCAACGATCAAAACTTTTATGAATGTGAAATCATGCTACTACCAGAAACGATGACAACAGGTATTTGACCAAAATGGTCAATATATAATTCAATAAAATATTTATTTATTATAAAAATATTGTGGTTTTTTTCATGGAAAAAAAATTAAATTACTTTTCCGTACAACCCAATATATTGCACAACTAATAATAATCTCTGAATCATATTAATGGGAGGTTCTCAATCATTTATTTTATTGGCTTTGTAGTATTTTCTGTTGCTAATCTATTCTTCAATTTAAAATGCTCTTTGGAACTACATTTCATATCAGATAAAAGCTTTTTTTAATATATATATATATTTTAATGTCTATAGCAATAGAACTTAATAAAGGTAAACAAATTTCTGGCAACTGATGATCTGGCACCACCCTAATCTAGACTAAATTATGAGAGGGAACTTGAAATTATTACAGTTAGCAGACTACTTTACTTTACTGGGCAACCACATATTATGTTTGTGTATAGATCATGCTTATTTACATTACTTACACTTGGTGGTGATGCTACAATTTTGTGATATTCTTAGTTTATTTTGTTTATATTTAATCCTAGCTATGGTTTTTAAGAAAGATGAGAGTTTCAATGATGTATTAATATACTACTTTTTGGACCACTTTAAAAATAGTGATTAAAATATTAAAATTTCTCAAGAAGTCAAATCACAATTATTTTGTCTCTAAATTACTATAATACAATTGGAATATCTGACAATAAAGCAAGCCACTAGTTCTTGATATTTGTATTGACTTGTTTGCTGTCATATGACCTCATAAGGATTGCATCAGAGAAGTATTCAAATATCTAGCACAAATTCTCAGAAACAACAATGCATTTTTAGAATTGAATAGTTCTTAATTCTTGCATTTAGATACTCCCATCTTTAGTTGGAGACAGCTAAATGTGTAAGGAACCAAGTCCGAACGTTATTTTTATTTACTTTTATTTTGCTTATTATTCTATTTTTGTTTGGGGCTTATGTTTTGTTAGGACGAAGGTTTCCTCATCATTCACCTTAGTAACTTAAAAATAGAAGAAAAACCAACTCACCGACGAAAGAAAAGCACCGTAGAAAAACTCACGCACACTTGCGCTTCCCGAGCGGAAAAAAGTAAGTCCGCACCGAGAAAAGGGGGGAGACCCCACCAGCACGAATTAGGGACTCGCTAAACCTTAAAGAATAAAAAAGTCCCGAAAATTGTGAAAAAGAATAATGTAAAAGGTTAGAGAGTATTGTCGGAAAATAGGCTGCCAGACAAACGAAAAAAGTTTATTGTTAGCGTTAAGTATGTAAATGAGGAGAGTGATCTCATTCAGAATTGTGACGTCACCTCACACTATAAATCCCGAGTCTCAAGTGAAGATGAACGAGGTGAACTCCTGATAGCAACGAGCTTTGGTGAGCTTCGTAGCAGTGAACGAGAGAGGTGTCCGATAGGATCAAATAGTTCCAAGGCGATTTTGAAGTTATTCGATTTATGGATCGACGATTATAGAAAGTCTTGAGAGTTTGAGGAAATAGGTTCCTAGTATATTGAGGTGACGATTAGGATCTTTAATTTATAAGAATTATTGTTTATAAGTTAATTCTTTGATTTTGTCGAATTCCAAAGGGGAATAGAATTAAGTTAGAAATAGATTGATTTGAGTTTGTCGGGTTGATTCTTGTTGAATTTCATTGAATAAATTATTGTTTGATTTTTACTAAATACTGTATATAGTTTATTACTAGAAGTTTAATTAAATATTCGATTTTGTTATTGACAAACTTTGTCATTATTTAATTCGGTGCACGCTTAAAGTCCAGGCCTGGCACGCTAACGCGAATCCGCGTAAAGTACCCGTTAGGGAACGGCTATTTCCAGCACGCAGTAGTGTCGATAATCGTTGGAAAAGTCGGAAAAATAATATAGTACTTTACAAATGAACAGATTAGAGTTGTTCTTGGTCTATTGTTCTCTCTTACAGCATGGAGGCACTTCAGTCTAAATAAACGAGTTAACACTCACGTGTCACAGTTTGGACAGAATTTTCACTTTGAATTTTTGAAGTAGCCATATTTCAAACTAACCAAATTCCTTAATATGTAATAAATCTCTATATCCCCAGTCAGGACAAAAGTAGTTATGAACTTAACAGGATTTCAAATTATCCAAGTTCAAATTAACAAGGATTTACTGTATCATGATTTTTATGAAGATTGATTCAACTTTTCTCAAAGTAGCAAGTTTTGTTTCAACTTTTTTACTCTTTTTTAAGCAATTGTAATATTTGAAATTTTTATATTGTCAGTTGATAAAAGTTGAATTGAAACAAAAACAACCAATCATATTTCACTATGCCTTGTCTTACACATGTGTAAGAAAATACATGGTTTGTTACATAAATAAATTTTTATTTTATTTTGTACTTTTATAAAGTTATTATATATTACTCCACTTCATAAATTAAAATATTTGACATGAAATTTAGAAAACAATAATGCTAGTTTGAATGTGTTACACAACTATCATCATGTAAAGAATGCATTTTTCAAATACAGTGCTACTCTTGCCAATAGTGCTGCAGTGGAATATCTCTCTTCTTTATCAGGACAAATTTTAACACCTAGATGATGCAGAATGTCAGATGATAAATTTGAGAAACATCATCAATTAAAGAAAGATATAAAAATGTTAAATAATAAGGATGAAATGAAAATAGGACTGTTATTTTAATCAGTCTAATGTTTTATTTTTATGTTTGAATAGTGTAAATGTAGTTAGTTAACTAGTGGTTTCAACTACCTTTATAAAAATCTGCATGAATTGGTGAAAAATCCTCAGGAATTTTTCTGAAGTGGTCTGTCCTGAATATGATAGGCCCTATCTCTCTCTACCTGGTCACTTCATTGTTGACCTGGCAAAACCTGTAATGGGTTTGATTAAAAGAAAAAAATGCCTTGTTATTACCCACAGGGTGAAGTAAAAAATTCTATAGTCAGAATCATTTTGGATTAATTTGGATTAAAACTAATAATACAATTTTTTTTGCCAATGTACAAGTGATTTTACTATAAAAAAAAAATTTTTGTATAATAACCATGCAACATCTGGTATAGTCTAAAGATAACAAGCAATTACTTTTTGTTACATTACAATTTCAGGCCAGAGTTTTCAATTGTATTTTAATTTAAAAATAAGCTTTCCTTATCCTGGTCTCAATTTTTATGTATCTAACTCCATTCATGAGAAATTTTTGAATTGAACTCACATGACTTCTGGTTCACATTGGAAGTTCATATATAGTTAATTGGGCCTCTGACTCCTAAGCTTTTTATCTATGTAGCTCCATTCTCAAGATTAATGGACAAATGGCAGTGGGAATGTATAGGTCTGCAATTTGAAAATTGCAGTTGACAAGTATTATAACTTGTTCAAAACAAAAACTTGCCAAACTAGAAAGAAATTTGATACTGATTTACACTGGTTTTTT